GCAAACCATTACTACAGACACTGAACGCCACTAATACTACACATTAAATTATATAAACGTCCTTGTACATTCATATATATAAACTACTTTTGAAAAATTCCTTTTAATTGATTACCGTTTAATACTTAAGTAGTAAAGGTTTGAATAATGTTTTCAAACAAATAACCTTATACCTAAATTGAACTAAGGTCTGATAATATATCATACGCTTGTTATATAATGTACTTTTTGCACTTTTATAAATACATTTTAAAGTGTATTATCAGGCTCCCTCGAATCCATTTTGTACAGATATTGTTATAAGGTCATTATACAACGTTACGATCTAATCTACTTTGTATTAAATTATAATTTCTTATTAAAAATATTACAAGGATATTAAAAAGGATTATTTATAGTAAATATTAGAAAACAGGATAATCTAAAATAGATATATAATATTATTGAAGATGTTATAATGAATTGGTTGATAATTAATCAACATGTACATGTGCTCTATATATTATATTTGGATCACTTCCAGTAATGTAAACGTGTTTTTAAATAAAAATACATTTCTTAATACCATTTATTGATAATGGTAATTGAGATTAAATATAACACAGTTATTATTATTAAGTACAAGCACACCATAGATTTGAAAATTGATAACTCATATAAAAATAAATATATAAATAGCTAATTTTTATTTCAGACCATGTAATTAATATGAACCTAAAATTCTAGTTTAATTATATACAATTTTTTAATTTATAAAATATATATATATATATATATTATAATATATATAATGGGATGTACTTTAAAATGTCTGATTTGTGGCGATCAAGCACTTGGTATATAATTCAAGTTTTAATAAATAAATAATTAACCTACGTACTTTTATCTAATAGGCAACAATTTCGGGGTAATGTCGTGTCAAAGTTGCAAACAATTTTTCCGTAGAAATGCTGACAAATATATGGTATAAGAAGTAACTTATAATTTATTTTCAAAATTTTGTAATTATTTTAATAATTAAATTTAGCATGCTAAATGTAACATGAAAAATAACTGCCTGATCAACGCTATCACCAGAAGATTCTGCATTAAATGTCGACTCCATAAGTGTGTCAAATTGGGAATGAAAAAGGTCTATTAAAATATACAAGCTGGTATAAAAATTTATAAACTCAATACTTTTTACCGAAAATTTATTACAGGATTACATAATAATAATGAATGAATGCATAACAAAGGGAAAACGGAATCCCGTTTTTGATACAAATACAGACTCATCTACCGNTAGCCTGTCCTTCCAGTAGTCTTTGGGTAATCGGAAGTAATGCAAAGAACCGCTAAATAAAGTGATTTTCTTTCCGTTGAGAGTGAAGTCTACGGAGTCGGCCCTCAGACCCGATTTGATACCACCGGACGTGTAGTACTCGTAGTTTGTCTGTTCGGCACCATTACTATAGACACTGAATGACACTAATACTACACATAAGACTAATGACAACTTCATTGTCATAATGTATAGAATTATAAGTAATTTTTAGTTGTTTTAAATTTTAATATTAGTATTTTCTTACCCAGTAAATTATTTACGGCTTTTATATGTTTTTAAATTTTTGTTTAACAAAGGCTTATGTTTTTGTTCTCAAACAAGAAAGTTTTAGTGCAAAAAGTGGAAAAACACTATACCTTTAAAATCCTATTACTTATCGTATAAAGATTTGAATTTTGATTTATTTTCATATAAAATATGTTTTAATTCTCATGAACATTATATTTTTAAAATTCCTATCCTATCATATTAATATAGTGTTTTTACCAAAAATTTTAACTAAGATTTTTATCAAAATCATAATATTTTAAAATATCTAAATTCTAGAAATTAACAGCATCTGACAATCTGACAATTCCCATTGAAACAATATTTATTATAGGGGTCATGGATAAATATGTAAAGAATTGTTACTAATTTACTATAACATTAAAAATTGATTTAGAATTTAAAAGTATTTTTTGTTATAATTTATAAAATTAACTGGTTAAAGGGTCGGAGATCTGTTATTATCTGATATTAACTAATTTGAACATTGGAACTATAGATTGTATTGAATTAATAGTACTTGTAAACTTATAAATAGATAAGATGTTTATCATTTATTTAGGAAATATGTTGCTTAATATAAGGAATATTCCGTACTTAGAAACAGGTTAAGCAAATAACATAATGTAATCATAATAAACTTTATACTGATTGTTATTATTAGTTTTATTTTTTATCGTTTAAACTTTTAATACATAACAAAACTAAATCAATAGTTAAATAAATTTTATTGATTAGATATTAAGTTTATATTTTAATATTTTAAGCATTTATCCCAAATGTGGTTTATCAACAAATTCAACCTGGCCGGTCGATGAATGCAATTCAAACACTAATATCTCATTTTTGCCCGTTTTTAGTAACGGTGCAGGGATATACAGTGTCAGTTGGGGTCCTATGTTATAATACCGGCCGATATTGAAATCATTAATAAATACATTTCCCTTCGACCAACCGTCCAGTCGTATGAATGTGTCCTTAGGACTGTCCTTAATATCCAATTCAAACCGATAAACGGCTGGACTTTTGATACCCTCAACGAACGACTTTCCCTTCAATTGAGTTAATTGTTTAACAAATGGTTCTTTGAAATCAAGCGAAAACGTCTCGATATTTGTGGCAACTTTTGTATCGATACTGATATCTCCGTTAAGACCTCTTCGGGCGGTATTCATAACAGCCCCACCATTGGGTCGACCCATGTTTTCGACGATTATATCCAACGTATGAGTCGTTGTGTTTGCAAATTGTGTGTCATTTAAGTCCTGATTATAGTCTTTATTACTCTCGAAGACAGCGACCTCTTTGTGGTCCACGAGAATGACTGCCCGATCAGCGGCACCACCTGTTTATACAAATGTAATTAAAACACATTAATATAGAAATAAAAAAATAATTATTTAATTAACTCGTAATTACCGGTGAGTTTCAAATGTTTAAATTTGTTGAGTTTATTGAGTCTATAGAGAATGAACCCATAGTGTTGTCCCGAATTGTTTGTGATGTTTAATAACTCCATGTGTTGTGGCTTTTCGGTGACGATTGGCTTCATTTGTGTCAACACGTCCTCTAAACTCAAGTAATCCTTAACTTTGAGTTTCCCGTAAGAAACCGGTGTTACATATGTCGGGGGTTTAGGTATTAATAGCTTTGGTTGAGACCTCTCTTTATTAAACTTTTCAATCAATTCCTTTGTTTTCCAATACTTATCCGAATAATTGCCTTATTGTAGAAGTTATAAAAAATTTTAAAATTTAGAACATATAACTATTTAATAAATAGTATTTATTGTTATTTATAGTTATAATTTGTATTTATTGTTAATAAACAAGATACTTGATAATTAAATACATATACGGTTGTTTTACATACTGTACAGCGTTAAGTCCGGCGGCCCTATACTTCAATAGCCTGTCCTTCCAGTAGTCTTTGGGTAATCGGAAGTAATGCAAAGAACCGCTAAATAAAGTAATTTTCTTTCCGTTGAGAGTGAAGTCTACGGAGTCGGCCCTCAGACCCGATTTGATACCACCGGACGTGTAGTACTCATAGTTTGTCTGCAAACCATTACTACAGACACTGAACGCCACTAATACTACACATTAAATTATATAAACGTCCTTGTACATTCATATATATAAACTACTTTTGAAAAATTCCTTTTAATTGATTACCGTTTAATACTTGAGTAGTAAAGGTTTGAATAATGTTTTCAAACAAATAACCTTATACCTAAATTGAACTAAGGTCTGATAATATATCATATGCTTACTATATAATGAACTCGTGCACTTTTATTAATACATTTTAAAGTGTATTATCAGGCTCCCTCGAATCCATTTTGTACAGATGTTTTTATAAGGACATTATATTATATAACGTTAAGATCTAATCTGCCTGTATTAAATTATAATTTCTTATTAAAAATATATTACCAAGGACATTAATAAGGATTATTTATAGTAAATATTAGTAAACAGGATAATCTATAATAGATATTATTGAAAGTTATTATGAATTGGTAGATAATTTATGAACATGTACATGTGCTCTATAATAAGTATTACAGTATTAGCAGTTAAGTACAAGTACACCATAGATATGAAAATTGATAACTCATATAAAAATAAATATATAAATAGCTAATTTTTATTTCAGACCATGTAATTAATATGAACCTAAAATTCTAGTTTAATTATATACAATTTTTTAATTTATAATAAAAAATATATATATTTCATATAATGGGATGTACTTTAAAATGTCTGATTTGTGGCGATCAAGCACTTGGTATATAATTCAAGTTTTAATAAATAAATAATTAACCTACGTACTTTTATCTAATAGGCAACAATTTCGGGGTAATGTCGTGTCAAAGTTGCAAACAATTTTTCCGTAGAAATGCTGACAAATATATGGTATAAGAAGTAACTTATAATTTATTTTCAAAATTTTGTAATTATTTTAATAATTAAATTTAGCATGCTAAATGTAACATGAAAAATAACTGCCTGATCAACGCTATCACCAGAAGATTCTGCATTAAATGTCGACTCCATAAGTGTGTCAAATTGGGAATGAAAAAGGTCTATTAAAATATACAAGCTGGTATAAAAATTTATAAACTCAATACTTTTTACCGAAAATTTATTACAGGATTACATAATAATAATGAATGAATGCATAACAAAGGGAAAACGGAATCCCGTTTTTGATACAAATACAGACTCATCTACCGGTAATACACATTTGACCACAAGTTATACCAATGAGGTTCTCAGCATAACTTTCCCGGACATGGCATCCAATCGCCTACTCATCACTCATTACATCAATGACTACCGCAAAGACATCTCACACTCAAAAACCATAGACTTTTCGGAGACAACGCCTAACATTGATGAACAGGAACAGTCACTTTCAGACATACCTATCCCAACACCACTTATAGACTACGTAAATAGTTTGAATGAATTAGAGGGCAATTGGATACAGGAACTCCTATCAGCGACAAATGTATACAAAGAGCTATGGGAACAGCCATTCCCTTCAGGGGGTTGGGGCGACTTCGTACAAGTGATCGCTAATAGGTTTGAGGGCTATATCCAGGCATCGATACAAATGTGCCTAAAATTGTCGCCGTTTAACGAGTTGTGCCAAAACGATAGGATCTCTCTTATAAAGTACGGCTCCATTGACTTGTTTATACTCAGATCCCTTCCCTTCTATGACACCGACATTAATAACTGGACTTTTACTATGGTTTGTAGTCGTCTAATGTTTACTAAAAATGTACTAATTTTTATATTTATTTATACATTTAAAAGGATAATGAAATAAATGCGAAAGATTTAAGTGATAGTCTGAAAGATTTGCATTTATCGACTAAAAAGTTTATGATTAATATATACCGGGAATGGGATTCCGATGCCGTGGTTCTCGATTTGGTATATTATTTTTTTAGTAATAATTAACACGTTTAATTAACATGTACAGTATAGTAATTGTAATATAAAAATTATATGTTTTTATTTCAGTTAACAGCAATCATACTGTTTAATCCCAATCGACCTAATCTTATGCATAATTACAGTATCAGGTAAGTTATTAATACTTCTATTATAATATTGTGAACTTATAGGATTATAAATTTAATTGTAGACATCATCAACAAGTATACATGCATTTACTTAAACGTTATTTAGCTATAAAATATAATGATGAATCGGAAACAATATTGAAAGTAATTAAAATCGAGAAACTTTTACAAGATTTACATGTTTTGGGACAAAATTATTGGCAAACATTTCATGAATTTGATCCAAAATGCGTGAAACAGGATCTATTGAGAGAGATATTTGATTTGAATTAAGCCGGGCATTATACCGGTATAAATTAAATTCATATCATTTTATATTAATTACATTTTATCATTTACCCCCTTAGATATCCTATTTATAAATTATTAGGAAATAACACTGAGGGGTAATTTCCTATTGTATATTGATAAATTTTAAATGATTATAAAACTTACTAAAAATAAATTTATTTCGCAGAATTGCTTCTAGGATATAAATACATGTACTTTTGTCAATATTAACAACTTGTTTTATAATGATAACTCATAATTTATGGTACAAGGCCAGCATATTAAGAATCCGGTAGTTTAAGGAAATTACCTTGCTTGAGTTATCTTTTACTAAATTTTAATCTAGAAATAACATGTGTCTATCAGACTGAAAAACTCCATCGTGCCATTTGAAACCTATTGCTTATATAATCAATATTTCAATCATTGACAATTAATTATATTATTTTTAAAGAGATAATAAGTGAATTAAATTCTAGTAAATTATAAATGAAGTATTGAGTCTAGCCACTAGACTCCGGTGCATAGACATCAAAAATTTTTTAATCCCCAAACTACCAAACACTATTTTATGATTTAAAAGTGACTAGAATTTGTTTTGAAAACATGATTTTCATTTTGAATAATAATATGCAAATTTATTAAACAACAAAATAACATTCAAATGATTAATTAATTGATTTAAGAGATTTTAAACAAGTCTGGTAAGCCCATACTTGTCCGATCATTTCCGATAGAAAAGTACAAATATAATGAACGTTCAAATTGAGTTTTATTTATAATAATTATGAAATATTTTTTATTGTTACTTCAAAATCCAAACTTTGTTAACTTTTTAGAATTATAAAAATTTTATTGAGTGTAGTTTAGTATTTATTTCATTACAAGGATTATCCCAAATGTGGGGTATCAACAAATTCAACCTGGCCAGTTGATGAATGCAACTCAAACACTAATATATCATTTTTGCCTGTTTTTAGTAACGGTGCAGGGATATACAGTGTCTGTTGGGGTCCGATGTGGTAATACCGGCCTATATTGAAATCATTGATAAATACATTTCCCTTCGACCAACCGTCCAGTCGTATGAATGTGTCCTTAGGACTGTCCTTAATATCCAATTCTAACCGATAAACGGCTGGGCTTTTGATGCCCTCAACGAAAGGTTTTCCCTTCAATTCAGACAATTGTTTAACAAATGGTTCTTTGAATTCAAGCGGAAATGTCTGGAAATTTGTGGCAACTTTTGCATCGACATCAACATCTCCATTAAGACCCTTGCGATCGATATTCATATTAGAGCCGATCTTCAGACGTCCCCAGTTTTCAACCACAATATCCAACGTATGAGTCGTTGTGTTTGCAAATTGTGTGTCATTTAAGTCCTGATTATAGTCTTTCTTACCCTCAACGACACCAACTTCCTTGTGGTCTACGAGTATGACTCCCCGATCAGAGGCACCACCTAATTATTAGGAAGGTTTTATAACAAATGATATAAGCTGCTTTATTATATTTATAATACCGGTCAGTTTTAGATGCTTAAACTTCTGTAAGTTTGTGAGTCTATAGAGAATGAAACCATAATTTTGTCCATAATATGTGCCAATGTTTAATAACTCCATGTGTTGTGGCTTTTCGGTGACGATTGGCTTGATTTTTGTCAACACGTCCTCTAAACTCAAGTAATCCCTAACCTTTATCTTACCATAAGATACAGGAGCCACATATGTCGGGGGTTTAGGTATTAATAGCTTTGGTTGAGACCTCTCTTTATTAAACTTTTCATTGTCAACACGTCCTCTAAACTCAAGTAATCCCTAACCTTTATCTTACCATAAGATACAGGAGCCACATATGTCGGGGGTTTAGGTATTAATAGCTTTGGTTGAGACCTCTCTTTATTAAACTTTTCAATCAATTCCTTTGTTTTCCAATACTTATCCGTATAATTGCCTTATTGTAAGAGTTATATAATTCTCATTAACATTATTTGATTACTTTTTATAACATAAATTATATAAGTTATAACATACCTGTCTCAGATAATGGTGCATTATAGTCATAACTGGTGACCAGAGCCTTATCCCCATCGCCGCCATTCATAAACCCAAAGTTAGTTCCGCCGAAAAACATGTAGAAATTGATGGACGCGTTGGCATTGAATACCACATCCGTTACCTCCTTCTCAAACTTCTTGACGTCGTAGTGGGCGTGACCGCCACCCCAGGAGTCAAACCAGCCTGGCCAAAATTCAGATACGTATAGGGGTTTATTAGGTTGAGCTTGGCGTAATGCAGTCAAGTGCTTTAATGAATCCGAGTTAAAGTTATCCGTCTCTAAAACGCCTGATAATTAAAAATAAAGAATAATTAATCATATTTGTACCTTGACATATATTAAATATATGACTTATATATAATTATTTTTAAATCATAAGTTGATAAGATTTAAATTATGAGTAATAAATTATATATTAGTAAAATGTGCATTATTTACAGCCTATCATACCACATACAGTAAATGGCATCACAATACTGTATAAACAAATCATGTTATTCATTAGCACCCAGCTCACTGAGCCCCACCTCAAATATAACAAACCTTTTTGAATGGTCTTAAGTGCTGTGACGGGTGTGTCCCCGGAGTGTGTCAATCAGTTGTTGAGAAACTTGGGTGAGAATAGCTACCATAAGGAGTACTCTAGCTTCATGAGGACTAGGGGGACACTTGCCTACGGGGGCTTGAGCAAGAGCATGACGTCCCGATAATACGGGCCGCCCTTTTGGAACTGGAACTCATCGATAAGGGCTAAAACCTTCATGAAGTAGGCCTCCACTGCGTTCAGGTAAGGCTTGTAGTTGGACTTGAATCTCATTTTAGGATCCCTGAGCATCCACGCGGGAAAGCCTCCCAATTCCCACTCGGCGTCGATGTAGGGGCCGATCCGGAACCAGAAGAACATATCGGCCTCTTTGACGGCTTTGAGGAACTCTCGCAGGTTTCGGAATCCGGTCTCAAAGTCCCATTGGCCAGGGATGTCCTCGTGTATGTTCCAGGCCACGTATGACTGCACCTGTAGTTTGTGAGAAACGTGTTGATATTTATTAATTTAAAAATGATTAAATAAGTCTGTAAATGTTAACTGATAATGTTTTAATTATTCATATTGTTATTTATTAATTAATTGATAATTTTAAATTAAATAGTGTAGGTAGAACCAATATTAATATACTTAATATATTGTAAGCTCCAGTGGCGGTCGACCCGACACCCGGCTCACGGTTATCGTATATGATTTAGCTTGCTTAATTATTTATATTAATCTTGCTTGATTAAATAAATACAACTTAAATTATTTTAAAAACACTTTATTTTATAAATACAGTAATACAAAGTAGTGATGTGTACTGCACCACACATACAAATATTATATCTGAAATGTAGTTTAGGTTCCCCTTATATAGTGAATTGTGATCATTAATTATATAATCATAGCCTAAAATAGTGACATATACTAATATGCTAACATTACATGTTGGCACTTAATGTCATACTAGTCCCAATAATTTATTGTATAAATACTTATTTTAAAATAATATTGTCAATAATTGAATCATACGACCACTACATAAGCAATCAATGAATGACAAAATTAACAAAAATAGCATTTTATATTTTTAAATAAAAGCGGTGCGTTGACATGCTCATTTATTTATACATAACAGCAAATTAATAATCATAAATTATAGCTTGCTTACAATATTTATCACAAACTATTTTTTATTTTGTACAATACTGTATTTTAATGTAAGTTACATAACAAATAAATTAATATCTTATTAGACTTTTACCTTATTTACCATTGTCTTTATAATAGACAATTGATTAGATAACCTCGATAATTTATAGGTACTTTGAACTATAAATACATTTTCGATGGAAAACATTGATTAGTTTAACTTTTACTTAAAAAGTAAAACTAATATTGATAAATAATTAATTTAATTTATAAATCATAATACCATAATGCATATTCTTTAAATATAAATACCGTGTTAAGTCCGGCGGCCCTGAACTTCAACAGCCTGTCCTTCCAATACTGTGCCGGTAATCGGAAGTAATGTAAAGAACCGCTAAATAAAGTGATTTTCTTTCCGTTGAGAGTGAAGTCTACGGAGTCGGCCCTCAGACCCGATTTGATACCACCGGACGTGTAGTACTC